ACACCAATGGTTTTCGTTGTTGCGGATTTCCTGTATCACGTGTGTGTTCTGCACAATGAAAGGCTTCGAGCGGGAGATAATCCTTTGGCGACTCTCGGCACTCTCCGTACTGCAGAGAGTAGGCGAAACAATTCCAATCCATCCGCATTGTTCTTGTAGTGTCGTCATCGCGAGCATCATACAGTCGTCGTTCCGCCACAGGTTTTTCCTCATCAGTATATATTTGGTCTTTATACTTTCAAACGGCGAGTCTCGCGGCATTGGGAGGATTATTTCGTTTCATGCAGCTGTAGCGGTTTCTCTGTCTAGATTCATATAATCAGTCAGCCCTTCAGGGATGTCAAGCCTGTCCAAGAAAGTAGCCGCCGCCCACTCGAAAGCATCTGAGACAACAGCCACAGCATCCATGGTGTCGTAATACTTCGCCACTTGTAGTCAATCTTCGCTGAGTACACCCACCTTGGCAACACGTACTCAAAATGGTAGTTTCGTGTCATCGAGAGATTCTCAGTAATCGTCACCAATTTGACGCTTCTCGAAAATTTCTCATCTAGCACAAATTTGACAGTTGTCAGGCACTCGTTCGGAGCAACGTCTTTGGCGATAGGTTGCTTCCTGGGCCCCATGGTCTTCATAGCAAAGCTAGATAGAAAATTGAACGCGGGTTCGTAGCTGTATGTTGACTTCAACACTCTTGCGACATCGGATAGATTTGTAACTGGCAATAGAGTCCCCTGTACAAGCTGCTTGGTCTCATTGCGAGATTCTGCAACGCGTTGCTTTTTGGGTTGTAGCTTTTGCTTTTCGAATCTTGGGTCGGTCTAGACTTCTGTTTTTTTCATTAAAAAAACAAGAGCTCATTTCTTGAGCTCGAGCTTGGCTGACTGTACATCGATGTCGCGAATTTAATTTTGGCGCTGGTGTGGTGAACATAATTTAGTTTAGTGACACCTGACAAGATCGGACTTTCGCCAAAATTATGGTACTATTCTGTTATTATCGGCAAATGCTGACTACCTTTGCCAAATAATGGCTCTTGTGATTATTGATGACACCCTGCAGCTATTCGTTAACTGGACTTTGCGAAGACTGAGATAGGATATATCAAGAGTGCTACGGAGTTGACGCTATTATGATAGCGTATCGGTAAACGTCGACTACATATTGAAGTAATTTGGCTTAGCTTCAAATACTTAGACGTATTTGTACGACTATATTCACATCGACTCATATCTATTGTCTTCGGATGGGAGCTTAATGTTTTTAAGCTGTGAGTTACGTCGTACACTTTGTTGTAATGTGCTACCAAGTGGCAACCGTCGAAGCAGTCGTAGATGGTATGATTTAGATTAAGGAACATCAATGGGGAGATAAAATGTCCGTATGGAATGCCCATTTGGTTTGGCACATGACAACGCATTCACAAGTCCTTGATGAGGTGTCTATCAACTTCCGGATAGAGGATGTCGTCCTCATTTCATACGTGTACCCCATCGTGGGGCTGCTCATCTGCACCGATGGATAATCAGCTGTTTTACGCTCGTCTGCGTAATGTTCTTCAGCGGAGTCCGTGATATTGTTTCTCTCCTTCATCCACTTCTCAGATGGTATTCATCGCTCAAACTTTGACTTCAAAACAGTCCCATGTAGTGCATGAAGAACGAAAACGAGTTTAGCTCGCGTACAGGAACAGCGCGACCATTTTCAAACTCCACGAAGTTGTGGTTCGCCAACCGTAAAGTATGTATTTAAATGTACGTCCAATTAGCAGCTACAATGCTACGAACGCACATCTCCGTTTCAGTATTGTTGGAATCAAATTTTGCCAGCAGCGATTCGTACTGCTCCTCACATTAGCACCGCTGTATTGGTACAAAATTTCTTCAGATCTGAAGTAAACAGACCTTTGATTTATTTGTAACCCTTTCGTGAATGGGCACTTTTGACCTGGCTATATTATACAATAGAAGGTCAAATCATTAGACTGTCAAAGGGGGCATTTTGCCCCCTTTCATAAACTACGGTACTACAGCAATTCTTCTGCAAATCCTTGTATTTCGAGTAGAAAGGGCGGTTCCGCCTCGTCCACACACAAAATTTAACGAAAGGGGGCAAAATGCCCCCATTGACCACGAAAGGGTTAATATTTCCAGTGGTACCGAGTGCGAACAACTGGCGATTTGCTGTGTTTGGGGGCCAAGCCAACCGCCACCACATTATACTATTGTTGCCGAGAATCACCATTGCGTTCTTGTGATGGGGATGTCATGAAGGCTCAATCACAGCCGAGATTTTGCTAAGTATTTGGTTGGATAATTGGGATGTCAGGGTTGGAGAGAAAAGCGCGGTGGAAGCTGTCAATTATTTACTCATAATAGCGAACGACATCTATATTCGTATGCGTAGTTGGATTAGTCGTAACAGGTTCTACTCTTGATCACGAGTTTGTTGAGTTGAGCTAGCAAAGCGTCTGAGTGCTGGTAAGCGCTGTATTCGATGAGGTTCATGCGGGAGGGTAGCTGCATTGTTTCTTTTTCCAATTTCCACTTTCTAACAGCGATGGAAATCCCCATCCTCCCCGGTAAATCAAAACAATAACCAGTAGTAGAGAGAGTGATTGACCGCTACGACCTCTCTTCTTGTAATGTGCAGAGAAAAAGAAGCAGCAACGCCAGTCTTCGTTTTTGTACTGCGGAACGGATATTGCAGAGCCAGCTGTTGATGCAGCCAACACTGCCCGTTTGTATGCTACTAGCGGATTCCTGGAAACCCATCCACTAGCTCAAACGTGTGCTGCTGTTCGCGTCCACGTGAGTTCTTTTTCGCAAATGAAGCCGAACATGAAGCTGCTCGTGAATCATCCATAGCTAGTGGGCTATTAGGCTTCTGCGGCTGAAACCACGGCGACAGGTCCGCCAAAGTTAGATACTAGCTGTCAGCCATGGCAATACGGAAAGGCGACAGTGGCGCATTAGTCGATGAACTGGGTTGTCATTCTCCCAAAGCGTCAGCATACTGAGAAGGTTCAACTAAGAAAAACACGTCAAATGTTAGCTCGGTAGCCAGTCTCTCCGGTGTCAAGAGTACCATCTGCGAAGCCTTCTTTGATGAAGAATGGGTCTCGGCGACTGGTTCAGCCTTTCGGTATTCTCAAAAAGAGACGCGAAACTTAGCGTTGCTTTCAACTCGGGGAAAGCGCTAAAGTCTTATTGCGTTCTCACCAACCTTTCTTGAAAGATGGTTATGAATTATCCATTTTGCAAAATTCGACGTACAGTCTGTGGTATCTTCACCAAATATCAATTGTGCTGGTGGTGATCAAAGAACCAAGTTATAGATTGCCCTGACAGTGTACGCGACAACAATATTGAGAGCGACATCGGGTTCATTACGCATGTTTTGTCTCACACGCTGAATTTTATTATACCCCATTGGACCCGCTCGCAAATAGTATTTGTGCGAGCATCTATTTCCGGGTGCTATCCATAGCATTGTTGAGAACTTGGCAACAAAACGTTCCTTCATAATACGTTTGAACTGAACTGGTGATGTGGGTAAATTTTCTATGCCCTGGTTTCAAGATTACTGTGGCGCACCTCCAATTCGACTGGGTGGGCCTTATCAATGTAGCTAAACCATAACCTGCGAAAGGATACCAGAAAAAAGCGATATGTATGGATCTGTCTCCGCTTCCTGGGTTGACGCTCGTCTTTGTGGCGTCGTGTTTGGAGGCAACTTGCAGAGCACCACATTAATCAGCTCGACTGGATCGGTATTGTGGGACAACGCTAATCAACTAAAAGCAGTAAGCGCCGGGTTTTTTCACGCTTTCTCTCATTTAGCTCCATAACTCATTTGCAGAATTTAACCGTGTTTATCCACGTCTAGGAAAATCCAATTTCCGCTGCGGTTTTTTAAAAGACTTGGTACCTTGACCGCCCAATGAAGTGCATGAGGAGCCGATCCGTGCTGTCGGCGTTGATGGCAACGCACACCGCGATGCGATGCTAGTTCTACTTCCTTCCATTCTTCCTTATCAATCGTGAGCGAGCCTTTCGGCTCTTTAGACTCTTCATTGGGTCAAGATCTCTTATTGTAAAACCCTGTAAGAAACCACGCAGGGTCCAGGTTTGTGGCGATGTCCTTGGTTGCTCTTCTCAACTCCCCTATCACTCCTGAAGTGCTTTGGACGCGTGATTACTCGCGAAACTGGTCGTCATTTACCCCCCCCCCCCCCCCCCTCCTTAAAAACAATGGCATAGGTGCGCTTCTCTGCTTCATCTTTTAGTGCACGGAGGATAACCGGTGGCGGCCCAAGGTTAGCGACTAAATAGCTGCAGGCAGGTTGGGGTCTCTTTGGCTTGGACGCCATTTTGAAGAATGACCCAATTGCAGCGGTCACACCGATGCGCAATGGACACGGTGGGTAAGTATCTTAAATTTAGTAAAGGTTTGGATATCCGGATTTAAAAATCTACAAGATGATACGATCGTACAACTCGTCCTATTTCTGGCAGTAGCCTTCTTTCCCCCTTCTTAGTTTTGCCCGAATCGAAAACGCTATAACGACTGGTGGAAACGATAAATCGCTTGTTGTCATAAAACACTCGCTTGGGACAGGTAAAATGGCAAATACTCTTTACTTCGATGGCGCGAAAAAAAAGGCACAGGTGTTTTCAGTTTGAATGTGCATTTGCGTGTATGTGTGTGACTTCTTTCACGTCGATCTGAATCGTTTGTGGAGTGTCGGGAAAGGCCTTCCATCTACTGGTAAAAAAGCCAGATTAAGCGTTATGCCAGAGCGCTCCGAGTACGTTTGATTTTATCTACTTGGAATTCCATCAAATTGATATCCCATTGCCGACGAAATGTGGTTACATCTAGACCATTTCATTTAAACGTGAACTCACAGCAATTGCTTATATCTCGAAGACTCGGTAACTACTGAGGCCATTGCCAGCATGAACCCGCTGCTTTCCATCATTCGGCTACGCCATTGTGTCTCTTCAACTGAAGTCTACGACTATAGTCGCAAAGCAAGAGCACGTACATACACTCCTGTTTTTCGAGAAGTTGGCGGCGCTAGTGATAACCCCTTCCGGAGTCAGTCGCGTGTGGTGCGAATGACTTCTACACTGCGGATTGTTGCTAAAGCTATTCAAGAGGACGCATCGGTTCGAGGTGAAAGGTATGCACCTTGCGTCTTTTCGTATATGCATTCTCGTCCAATATTACTGGCACACTGACAACATTTCGGATCATATTCAACGACATCGGTATTGATGCTAACAGTAATACCGATAGCGAGATGACTTTTTTTACCCAGCAAGTGCCTCACTGAGATGACCCGCCCCGTGTCGGTACAGAACCCAAGAAGAAGCATGTAGACAGCGCTCCCCCAAGTATGATCATTGCTGTAGAGGAGGACATGTGCCTAAGAGGTTTTGATGGTTGTTTTTCTGTGCGAGACGACACTAAAGCTCGAGTTGTCAGTATTCCTGTTGGATATTGCATCATTTTTCGAGGATATTTAATTTGTAGCGGCGCGCTGAACACTGCCATCAACACCGAATTCACTGCTACATATCCTCCCGAGGGTTAAAGTGGAAGCCAGATACTGTAGCAAGCGTGCTGCCCCGATATAGAACCTGCCCATTTTGCGGTGTTAATTTTGAAGAATCAAAAGCAGTCTGTCAGCTCCGTCGCTACTGTAGCAAGAAAAACACACAACTTACGGGGGGGGGGGCTGAAGACTCGCTGACGCACAGACAATAAGGAAGGCAAGCGAGTGTGTGATGTGTGTGGGAAAACATATCTGAAAAGCATAGCTTACAGGTCATATGTGTTCCGTGGACACGGCAACAAGAAACAAAAAAAAAAACAATTAGGAAGCCATAGCAGCTAACTTATGAAAACAAGGTTTGGGCACCAGTAGCATTCTTTTTACCAAAGCCTGCTAGCTTTAGTTCACGTAATTCAATTCTGCTGGTCATGATGCTCGTGGGTGGAAGGCGAGTTAAGTTCGGATCTGGAGCTACGTTAGAGCTGTGGGACGTGGATGGAGGAGTGGCGGGGTGATTCAAATGCTCATGCGAAGCAGGATCTTGTCTGGAGCTGTATATAATGGAGCGTGGTCGTCTTGACCTGCGTCGGCGGTGCTGTTGGAATGCAGATTCATCAAACACTGAATCCAGTGCATGAACGTGGTCTGCTCATGCTTGGTCGCGGTTTATCCGCCAGTGAAGGTCGAACTGGTTGGGGGTCAAAACGGTTTGACCATTGGACTTGGTAATTTGAATAAGCTCGTGTACACATGGACAGCCTTTGACAGTTCTAACGACACCCGTGCATTGGTCATTGGTCACGGTCTAAAAGGTTGAATACGATATGTTGGGCTTCCTCCAACACTGTGTGGGTTTGAGTTAGTGCCCAGACCGTATTAGTTGAAGTCACTGCAGAAACACGATTTTCTGCAGTAAGTAGTGCACACGGATGGCGTTCCTCTGTACTAGAAGCCGCGTTGACGAGGCAGCAGCGTTCCGCCATGGTAGTAGACCCAGATACACAATGCGTTAATCGCCTCGGAAGCCTCGCAACCATATCTTACACTTTGCATGCGTGCCCTCTACAAAGAAAGTGTCCCGAATCCTGAAATGTTCACACCGATCGATCATGCCCGTACTAATCGGGTCTTGAACTTCCACCTGTGTTTATCCAGATATGAGGACAACACAGGGCTCGGGTCCATTAACGCTTCGCGCTGAGATTCAAGCTGCCTCAGTTTGTGTCAACTCTAGTGAAGAAGGATTCCATAAACGCGTCTGTCTGCCAAGTATTAGGCTGCCCCGGCGCAGGTTGTCTACAGGGACTTGTCCGACGACTTGTCGAACTTTGCTGATGAAAGTTTTGTTCGTATGCAGCCTGTATATCAAAACTGGAGCACCATAAGATACTGAGACGACCGCATTCGTCAAGGCTAAATCTCTCTCTGAAAGAATTACACTTGGAAATCCAACTTTCACAGAGAAGAAAAGTTTCCAAAGTGTTGCCATAGCTCACAAGTAGTATCCCGCCCTCTCCCTTCGTAACCAACACTGAGCAAGTGGAAGCACCGTATTGAATCCAGTTAGAGAAATAATATTGAGTACACTTGTTGGTCTTGTTAGTGCAGTCCATTACGAGGACCTCTGGGTGGCTTCGGTACTCCTTCAGTGTGCCTGGCTGAGCCCAGAAGAGATACAGAAGCCGTTGTGTGCTCTCGTCTACTTCCCAGCGATAATAGAAATCATCCGACTCCAAATGAGAAAATAATGTCTCCATCACCGTTTTTTGCTGATAGTTCTCGACGTCTGTCAGCGTGTTTTTTTTATGTTGGCGATGTCTTGTGGGATAACGAAGGAGCAGGGGTCTTCCTGCAGCTAACTGGCCGGAACACTCTCCACTCTGATACCTACAGCCATCTGCGTCATAATCATGTATTCGAAAGAACTTGCAGGCGCTAGTTGGCTAGCAGCAGCTGCGCGTTGTCGATGTCCTGCATGAGCCCATGCGCCCTCAGACGGAGGGTGGTCGCGGAGTTGGTTCTAGTTGCGCCAGTGAGCTATTTTCTATGGTCCTCCAGGATTCTCTTTCAATACAGCCTACACTATGATTTCATCGGACAACCCGATCGCATAAAGCCGCGCATTGGGCGCTGACGCTGACATTCCTCCAAATGTTGAGTGCACTTGGAACTTCCAGTGCGGTCGCAGCCTTAACCGCGGTTCCAAATCTTCTTGTTGACGATTCAGTTCGAAACACGCGTCGTGTTAATTCCATGCTCCTTAGTCTTGCTGTGTATGGCAGCAATCGCTTCTTTTTTCTAAGGGGTGCGTGCTTTCAGACGGAAGTATTATGATCACTAGACGAACGCCATTTTCACGGTGCACCTCGTCTCTTTCTGTTATAATACAAAACTCTCAGATGGTTAAGTACCCACTGGGATAACTTAGAAGGTGGCTCAATCAACAGTCTGGATACGGATGGGAAAAGTGCGGTTGAAACAGCAAATCATGTCGCGACAAGAGTGAACTTCACGTCATTATCAACGCCACTTGCAATCAGGTCAGGTCGGAAAACCGGGAAAACACATTTCCGAATTGCTGCAATACACTCCAGGTCACGCTTGGCTAAATGACTCAGTTATCTCCTTATCAATCCAGAAGATGTGCGAGGCGCACGGAATGGCATTTCGTGAACCCGCTGTGCAGTGCAACGATGATCTGGAAGGATCAAAAGGGCAGCTGGGACCATGTTTTTGCTCCATGTAATATCGATAGTACCCAAAAAGCGTGAAAGACAATGTTGTAATTGACTATGGTAAAGTTCAACCATAGTCAATTACAACATTGCCTTTCACGCTTTTTTTAAAGCTGTACCCTTTCACGAGAATTATTAATGGATGTTGTTGACCTCAATTGCCGGTAAGTGCTATTTACGTGTACTCGTTAGCGAAAGACGGATGTGGAGACACGGGCTGAAATAATTGTTCAAGTTGTCAGAGCTTAAAACAAGCCTGCAAACGAAACTATCCTTCAATAGCGCTTGTACTGATCTCGCATTTTGCCGAGCTCTATTCATTATCGCTCAATTCAGAGAATAACAGCGCAGATGACTGTGCTGCCAGCTAACATTTGTACAATATTTCAGCACCAACTTTTTCAATCTTGTTGAAATGACCCTAAATAGTGCTGTTTTTTTTTGTATCGGTAGGATTTTTGAACAACAGATATTCAAAATTGAGCTGTAATTTATTCGTCCCTGCTACCTAACATTATTATCGATATCGTCCTTTTGCCGTTGTACGCACGAGCTGATAAACAGTTGGGAAATAGTAGAGGCTTCAGATATTTCTATGGTTCAGTTTACTATCCATCGAATTTAGTTTTCTTTGTCCAGCGAATTCATTTTGTTACCTCGTTGTGTTTCTTTCATTTTCTTAGTAGGGAGAGGAATACAGCGAATGGAAACATGTATCTACTTCTTATTGTTCAGTGCAGCTACGTATTGGGACGACCACACCTCAGCATGACGCTGAAATAATATCGCATCTCCTTGGGAACATTGATCTTGGGGATCTCGCATTGCCAAAAAAGCGCGAACATATTCTGCTTTGACAGCCCCTGTGGCTTGAAAGTACTCAGGTCATCATTTGTAG